GAGTAGATTTGACCATGAGTATCAATACTTTTACTCAAGTACTAGAGTTGAGTACTTTGTCCACCACTGCTTATGTTAAATAAGCCCACTCTCTACATCTTCTCATAACAAAGTTACGAGAGAAAATTTTACCAAGGTTTTTCTCATTACTTTAATATTTGACTGTGCAAAGTGAAGAGTGACACAATAAGGGAAACGTTCAGACAAGTTCAAGTTGATTCATAAAAGACTATGCAATCATTTATTTACACAAATTGAACAAATCATAAGTTACACCTGGATTGTGGATTTCCTATAACAAGCGTCAGAGTTACATGAGATAAAAACTCGCGTCCGAATTTCAATTCACATTAAACTCCGATTACTTATATAGACAGTAAAATGTCAGCTCTGATGTTAACAACCAAACTATTTACTGGCACTTTAACTTAAGGTTGGCAAAGAAAGGATAAGAAAAGGGATGAAAATTAAAGATTAGTGTTTCTGCTTTTATTTTGGTAAGGGTGTCTGTGACAACCGGATTAGCTTGTCCTCTCTGCGCTCAGACTTCAACATGACACGTCACCCCGAACACGTCAGCTTTTACCTGGTGATGTCTTCTTAAGGCACCCCTCAGTATGAACTGTCTCACCTCAGACCAGTCAGGGATCGTTTCGATCGGCCCGCTCAATGCTCCGTGGCGAAAAAGTGTTGTTTAGGCAACTTTTCGTCTGTTTCAGCCCAGGCTAGAAAGATTCCAGCTGAAAGTTCCGGTCGTCCTTCAAAATAAAAGTTCTCCCCTCAGGAGGTAAAACACACTTAAGAGACGTGCGTCTCTGGGTGGACAGAAGCGACGTGCTTCTGTCCTGGCCGGCAAGTCTACTCGATTTGGCTCCTGAGTCAGACCTGCGGCCCGGCTGTTCCTCCGGAGAGAAAAAGCCGGTCTTCCCGTTTCGGCATTCAGGAAGAAGAGTCTGTGTGTCTCTCTAAGACGTCCGTGTTAGTAAGAGTCGGAGCCTTAGGATCCGCCCTCAGGCATTAGAATGAGTCAGAGAAAGGAAGGAAGATAAGAGACTTTGCCAAAGGCGCCAGTGCAAGGAAACATTCCGTAGTTGGTTTCACAGAATGATAATATCTTCTGGCTTTCTTTCTGATAGACTAAGAGAAATCACTGTAAAACATTTATGATGATTAATTAACATTTCTGTTTAAATAATCAGTCTGAACTTGGTGTCCAGATAAATGAAAGATTTTCTTAAGAAAACTCAAAATTATATTACTGATGTTTCCAATAAAATAAAACAGTGATTTATATAAAAACACAATGAAAACATGGTGAATATTTTTCTGTGATTTTATACCATTAATTAATCTTTTAGGCACGATAAAAGAATAGAAGTGATTGCATCTTCTTTGTGACAATTTGTGATGCATTAACAAATGCATAACATTCTTAGTTAAACAACAAATGAATCACGAACAGAAAAGATTGTTTCTGTTCTTTATCTGATTAGAGAACTGAAGTCCTCCACCACAGGTTGAAATGACCTGTCATGGCCTAAAATAGAGTTCAGTATTCCTGCCTTCGGCCAGGCCTTTCTGAGACCTGCTTTGAGGCAGTAACTCCTGTTTCTTCACTCGAGGTGACCCCTACATTTGTCTGCATCAAGATCTTAATCTCCACCTCTGGTTTGTCAAAGTTTGTTTATTTCAAACATGAAAAACGGGTCACGAATCCCCAGGTTATGTTTTCACCTCTGTTATATTCAGATATTGCCCATTCTCTGATTGACACTGTACTCATTTGATTTGCAGATGGATCCTGGACAGGATTTACTCCTCGCTGCTTTGAGTGAAAGTGGAATTTGTCCAAATGATCTTGGTTTATTAGACATTGATTCTCAGGATGTTACACAGCCTTCTACAACTCAAGTATGATCATTCTTGATTTTTTTTTCAGCAAATAGATCATGTTTAGTTTTTTCCTGGTAAATGGTAGGTAGTGATATTTGTTTGTCTTTCAGTCCATCTCCATCAGTGCCCTGGATGTTGGTGTTGGAACAGAATCAGTGGCAGTGGTTCGACCTGAACCCTCCCCTACAGCCCCCGTAGTTACAATCAGAGTGAGACTACACAACATGTTGTTCATTTGATGATTTTTATTGACCAATGTGTTAAGTCACGTGAATTAAAACTTTTTGTTTTGTGTCAGCATAAACCTCAGCCATCGACCACCACGTTTGTCTTAAATCAGCTGAATCAGTTGCCATCGCTGGGGACTGCTGTGACCAAACAGTCTGTTACCAACCCAATCAAGCACACCATAACTGTCACCAAAGTGGTTCATGTGGACAATTCAGCTCTGCGAAGTTCACCGACTCCCATGATTACAAGTGTTTCTCCTTTGCTGTCTACAGTAGTGCCTTCTAACAAAGATCAGGTACATCTATTAAAGAAGAAAATAATTCACAGATTAAACCTTCTTACTCTTGATTAAACTGCTCATGAATTTTATTTTTCAGCAAATTCAGTTGAAAGACCTCCTTCAAACTGGCAATGTGAAAAGCGTGGGTCTAAAGAGCAACAGCCTGAAAGAGCTCATGAAGTTAAAACCTCCACCTGACATTGCTCCACCTGTGGCAACAGCCACAACATCAGGTAACCTACTGAAACATGCAGAAATATTTTCTTTCAACACTGCAGTTATTCCAGACTCTAGACACTGTTCTTACATTTTCCAGTTCAATTCAAAAAGTTTCAGTGTGAATCTTTAAGACTTCCCAGCACCTTAAGCAGTAATGATTTACCCATACTGTACTCGAAGTATTATTTTACTTCCTCGCTTTGCAAGGCGTTCACATGAAAATAGGCTGGGATTTTCAAAAACAAGCCACTCAAAATACAGCTGCACAGCTTGCTAGTCACTTAGTTGGAAACACCCAGAGTTTGTTGTGACTGCATCAGATAATTCGTATGTTTTCATAAAACTTAGATCTAGGGCTGCAACAATGAATCAATAAAAATCAGTTATTAAAAGAGTTGGCCACAAGTTTCATTATTGATTCATTGTGTCCCGTGTTTTATGCGTCCCTCACCGTGTCACGGAGCTGTTTACGTCACCCGCAGAGCGTTGTCCATGCTGGCTGAGCTAAATAAAGTTCAGGAAGAAAAAAAACCCTCTACCTGTAGATCTGCCCTCTCTGAGACCTCGAGTGAAAAGCAGACTTCAAATTTTAAACCAGTTTTAAATTGTGTTGTTAGGACAAGTAGATGCTAAATATGATATGATAAAATGTATTTGTCACATTTAATTTTTTTAAAAAGATGTCTGATTTGATGCGGCGCCGCGTCACGAGGAGGAAACATGTCCCGTGGTGAAAAAAGAAAAGTACCTCAGTCGACCTCAGTCCACCATGTCTTCCCTCCTCTCAGACCAGAAATATAAAACCCTCGTCTTTTCTTCTGACTGAGGCTCAAACTTATTTGATGAACAACAAAAGGTTCAGGACGAAGGAAAAACAAAAAGACGCAGCAGAACTCCTGGGGGAGTGGGGAGGGATGGGGGGCTGCTTCAGAACCGGGTCATTCAGTCAGACAGAACCAGAAGGAAGCAAAACGTCAATAATTAGAGAAAAATCATCAATTCTAAATGCAAATAAATTATAATTATAATAAATAATAATAGTTTAACATCTAAAAATCATATTTTATTAGTTTTATTCAGCACCTTATGAAATTTCTATTTTGTTGTTTTATATCTATAACAAAGTTTATTAATGCAGGAGAAATCCACATTTTTGTTTATTTTTTCCAGTCAGAGTTTAACACAGCTGAAAAATCAACTGTGAAAATGTTTATGTGCTTCTTTTTTTATTTAGCATATTAAAAAAATCCTTCATGTTATGAAAAGACCCTCTTGATTCAATAGAAAACTCTGGTGTTTAAGAAAATGGCTGCTTATTAATTAACTGTTAGTCAGTCTATAAGATAAATCTACTTCAGAATAATTTATTAATCAATAACTTACATCCCTAATTTATACAGGAATTAAATGAATTTATATCTACTCATATTTATGTAGTTAAGTGTTTTAATGATTTGGCCGATTAATTGAAAAAATGATCGACAGATTAATCAATTTATTAAAATAATCATTAGTTGCAGCCCTACTTTGATCTGACAGATCGTCACCAACAGTTGCAGTCCAGTGAGACTATCCCAAGTAAAAAAAGGATTTTCTCCTAAGCCGGGTTCACACCAAACGCATTTTGTGCAGCAAAAACACACCCAGCTGCTCAAGTTGGACGCGCTACGTTTAGACCAGGACAGAGACTAGACACGCGACTGAAGAGGGAGGAGCGTCTTGTTTTTTTTCCAGTCTGTCTTTAATGATGGATGAAATAAAGAAAATTGCTTTTCTTTATTTACTGAGAGCAAGTGAACGTTATGCTCACCAGATAATTTAGAGGCGGTTTGTTCGGTTAGTTTCACCACTCCAGGAGCTGCAAGCTGACAAACTGTTTGTCCCGAGCCCAGATTAAACACCGCGGTCAGTTCAATGAGCTCCTGACCCTTCATCGGTGCTGATATCTCCAGCCAGAACACCAACTACAGATGGTCCATTTCAGCCAAAGAGCTCCCGCCCGTCTGTTTCATGTTAGTGGGCAACATTCAGGAAACCGCCAGGTGCAAAAATGATTCTCTCTGATTGGTTGACGCGGCGCGTCGAGCAGCAAAAATAAAAATTTTAACTCTCGCAACCATTGGCTGCTTTGGAATCCCCGCATGCACGAAAAAGCTCCCTCTTCGTGCAGTGCCACGCTAAATGAGCTAGACGCACCATGCTGCCCCTAGACGCGCGCCCACCATAGACTTTACATGTAAACGCTGCTCTTGCTTCTCAAAATGCTTCTGGTGTTAACTCAGCTTTATTCACATCCAGCTGCAGTGCTACTCCCTGTTTGGTCTGTTGTTAACTGAAGAAACAATAGTCAAGTTTATTGGAGCAACCAATTGACAAGCCCTTCTTCCCCCATGATCTGGCATTCATTTAGCGTGTCTAACCATTTTAAAACTTTTAGTTTAGAAAATGTATTAATTTCATTAAAAATCAAATTTATTCTCTAGAAAATAAAAGAAAAAAGTACAAATCACAAATAAAATATAGGGAAGCAGAAAGAAAAAAACCTTGTATGCCCTTTTTTCCCCCAAGAATAAATTTAAACAATAGTAATTTACAAAAAACAAACATCAAATTCTCCTTGATCAATTTATATGGATAAACATTATACCATTTATTTCTTAAACAAACCAACTTTTACAACCATTTTCTTAAACATACACATTGATCTGGCATTTTTTAACATCACCCTCCAGATTATTCCTTAATCTTATTCTTTGGATTGACGTACAATACTTTTCCAAATTGGTTCTAAATTCAGGTTTCTCAAACATCCCCTTAAGATAGTAATTTCAATTGATAAAATAATATATTTGATGGGTGACTGTAATGTTTTCTAGTGATAATTCTTACATCTCTAAAACAAAAATAGGATTTGTAATTCTTTTGCATGCTTTCCTCCGGACTATACTGCAGTAAATAAGTGTGGAACATTTATTGCATTATACAACATATACAGAGCTTTATCATTGAATAACTCTTACTTTGTACAGCACTGCAATACGTTTAGATGGTTTTGTTCTTAAATAATTTATGTGAGGTTTCAAAGTCAGTTTTTAATAAAAGACACCCCAAAACATCACCTCACTGACTCTACAAATCCCAACACAATCAACTGAATGGAACAGCAGTAGTTTTATTTTCTATCACTAAATATCATGTAATTAGTTTTATTCAAATGTTAAGAAGATCACATTGGTCCCGACCATTAAAAACTTTAAAAACCATCAATAAAATCTTAAAATCCATTTGCAGGTGAACAGGAAGCCTATGGAGAGAAGCCAGGACCGTTCATACTTTTTAATACCTGTTAAAAGACGAGCTGCTGCATTCTGGACACTTTGATCTAATCTGTTTAAAAATAACCTCCAATTTTTGAAAACTGTGGCAACAACAATCTTGTCTATAGCTATTGAACACATTTCTCACCTTTCTTATAGATTGGACTTACCTTATCTATTTTCATTTTATCTAGAGATATTCCTGTTGAAAGTGATAAATTACTCATGTAATGGCTCAATGAATATAATTTCCTTTACAAACATAATATCCATGTTTACCCAGTCTTTTGATCTTTTATCCGCAAGATTGTTTTACAATGCTCAGTATTTCTTTTATCAGTTCCACCAAGAAAAATGCTGTTGGCATTATATAATGACTTGCTTCATTATTCACTTATTTTATCTGCAACACTTGGGCCAACAATAAAGGCATTCATTAACTGTTTCATTTTGATCATAGATTGTTGTAAATATAGGAGTGTCTGCAAGTGTCATCACTGTTGCAGTAAAACCTGCTGACAAAGCAAACGGTGAAAATGTTACATGCCAGTGACCACATGAGTAATCTGGTTTCTGTTGATGTTTCAGGTGACAAGAACAATGGAATCAAGAAGGACATGTTGGTTAAAGATGGCTCTAGGTTATGGGTTAAAGATGACATTAAAATGCAAAACTTTTCAAATTCTCTGGTAAGTTTTATTACAGTTGTTTGCTAAGTATCATGTTTTTTTTCTGCTCTCCATAAAGGTAGACACACTTCCCCCTTTTTTCCAACCTTTCCTTATTTATCCTCTTGGATGCTTTTTGTTTTGGAGCTACTCTTGCATATCTTCCAAAATTGGAAAATTATGGTTCTGGTCAGCTGGTCTCTTAATGCTATTGATGAAATTTTCTCCACGAGGAGACTGGGAAAAGGAGAACCCTCTTGTTCTGACGGGACATGTGCCGGTGGGCTTGTTATGGATTCCTGGAGGAAGGGGAAGACGATGTGCCCGTCTGTACTGTTGGTTGAGGATGTCAAAGATACTTGAATATATACATATTTGAATTATTGATAGCAGGATTTCTTTTTTATCCCTCATCTTCCCCTCATGTTTGTTACGGATGTTTATCCATTACAATTTCATAAAACTGTAACTTCCACATACAAAAACTAAAGTACACCAAATTTGGTATGAGTCATCTATGTTGCATCCTCATACTACCATATATGTCATACGTTAACTTCATCAAAGCCCTGCCCCCTGACAGCAGGAAGTGACATTTTGTTTTACTTGGAAAGCTCCATCTCTGACCTTCTTGACCTAATCAACAAATTATGTCAGAACACAGATAAGTTGATCTCACTTGCTTTCAAGCATAGACATTTTGGTGTAATGGTGTGTTCACACCAAATGCGTTTTGAGCGTCAGGATCACATGCAAAGTCTGTGGTGTATGTATGTAAGAGAGCGAGGAGGAAAAGTTCTGCACGGTGCAGCGCAGCTGGAGCGCTGCTGTCCCACCGGGTGAATGAGTCAGCAGACATGCACACAGGTCAGTTTTCTACAATCAGAATAAGATGATCTGATTAAGTGTTTACATGAACCTCATTCTGATAATCAAACGGCATAATCCACCCTTTTCATTTGGATTAAAAATTCATTCGGATCGAGCTCAATCTGATCAGAATAATCGGAACAGCTGTTTACATGACACATTTTTATTACGAACGGCCGTTTAATCCGATTACTTTTGTCCATGTAAACGTAGCTAATACAGACGACAAATTATACATTTATAGTATTACAACTAACACAGTTTTTGACACCGCCACCGCAGTTTGTCCTTCATGAGCCTTCGTAGACAAGATGGCGGCTGCCTGTGTGGCGACCCGCGACCATGGAGATATAAACAGCTTTTTATAAGGTAAAAATAATAAAACAAGGTCTTTGTCTGCAATGATTAGACGTTTTTTTATTATTGTCATTAGTGATTATCTCAGGCTAAAAGAATTGACAAAATCCTACACACTGTGCCTTTAAAGACACAGTGCCTTTAAAGGCAC